TGTGAGTGTGAGTGAGTGTGTGTGTGTGTGTGTGAGTGAGTCTGAGTGAGTGTGTGTGTATGTGTGTGTGTGTGAGTGAATGAGTGAGTCTGAGTGTGTGTCTGAGTCTGTGTGAGTGAGTGAGTCTGTGTGTGTGTGTCTGAGTCTGTGTGTGTGTGAGTGAGTGAGTGAGTGAGTCTGTGAGTGAGTCTGTGTGTGTGTGTCTGAGTCTGTGTGTGTGTGTGTGTGTGTGCGTGTGTGTGAGTGAGTCTGAGTGAGTGTGTGTGTGAGTGAATGAGTGAGTCTGAGTGTGTGTCTGAGTCTGTGTGTGTGTGTGTGTGAGTGTGAGTGAGTGAGTCTGTGAGTGAGTCTGTGTGTGTGTGTCTGAGTCTGTGTGGGTGTGTGTGTGTGTGTGTGTGTGTCTCTGTCTGTCTGTCTGTGTGTGTGTGTGTGTGTGTCTGTGTGTGTGTGAGTCTGTGTGTGTGTGAGTGTGTGTGTGTGTGTGTGAGTGTGTGAGTGTGTGAGTGAGAGAGTGAGAGAGAGAGAGAGAGAGAGTGTGTGTGTGTGTGTGTGTGTGTGTGTGTGTGTGCAGAGACAGCAGCTCATCACGAGAAAACATACTGTCATAAATGAATATGCAGATGCAGTTCTTGATGAGTGTAATGACAGCTAATCTTCTCTCTGTCAGTGTCAGTCTATGAATTCCGCATGAATACAGTGCGATCGCAGTAAATAGATGTCTTTTACCTCTGTGTCTCTGGGATTATTGAACTCATCTTCAGTCCGCTCGTTTCGTTTCTTTTCGTGTCCAGATCAGACATATATGTATATATGTATAAAACAGGTCCAGATACAGTCACTTCCTGGCGCGCGGACACGTGACGCATGACGTCAGCTCGTAGACACGCCCACCGCGCTGCTCACTGCGTTCATACATGAGAACATGTTTGTGATGAAATGCGATGGTGTAGTTAAATACGGCCAAAAACAGGACTTTAATAGAAACAATGCATGCAAATTTATGCGCAAAAGCCCCACATACCATAATTACTGTAGCATTCGGTTTACTGTCAAGAACTAGATTAATGAAGAATAATTACATTAACGAGCAAGCGATGAAAAATCAGCTTCATTCAAAGTGAATCAGGCTTTCATCCCCCATTGACAGATGTTTGTTCTTGTTTTAATCATAAACTCACTTCAGTTTGATACATTTCTCGAATGAGCCTTCTTATCTTCATTCTGCATCTCCAGTAAATGTGTCTGGATTTAAGGATGTTTAGATATTTGAACTGGAAAACAAATTTGAACACTTTATCAGGCCTTAATATGTTGAAGGGTGAACTAAGGCTTGTAAGACCCGCAGAAACCCTGATATTTCTCATGATTTCACAAGTAAACGAAGCTGTCTGTGAGCTGTTGTGTGTGGATGTGTATAAATGTATTAATAACCAATACAGAATACTGTTTGACCATTTATAGAAGTTGTGTTAAATCTTAGTAAACTTGTTCACTTGACCTTTCCATCAAACACAAGACATACAAGCCCAGAAAACAGAAGTTAGAGAAGAAAAAATAATCTGATACTTTATTTTGTTGCAAAAGGAAATAGAAGCAGCACTTAAAAACCAAAGCAAAACTACCAGCATGAGAAAAGAGAAGACAAATCATATATAAATATACTCTGAATACATACATACACTCTTATAATTTAGGCATATACAGCGTCATTGAGATATTTCCATAGTGGAATGTTTGTTAGTCGTGATGTTGAGAGCGCTAGACACACACACACACACACACTCACTCTCTCACACACTCACTCTCTCACTCTCTCACTCACACACTCACACACTCACTCACTCACACACTCACTCACTCACACACTCACACACTCACACACTCACACACTCACACACTCACACACTCACACACTCACACACTCACACACTCACACACTCACACACTCACACACTCACACACTCACACAC